CCTTCCCCCCTCCTCCCCCTCTCCCATGTCCCCCCGGAACTGTCAGTCCCGTTGTTTTCTCCTCCAGATTGTTCATCCAGCCTGTCGTATCCAGACAGGCCGCACAGGCTCATTTTATGAAGCCTTTCTCAGCTCATGGACTGCAACTTGTGGAAGACAGGGCTGGCACTCTATTCCCTCAAAAGCAACTGTTGAAAATCCTATCGAATACAATTCTGTACTGACACCCATGAGGTCGCTAGAGTTGGAATTGAACCAAGAACACCTCGTTATACTAGGGTGTTGCTGTGCTCCTACTTGCTTTTCTATCAGAGGCCAAAAACCCTGACCTCACATCCTGGCTCTGAAAGTGGTCTTTCCAAGCAACAGCATCAGTATCTCCCAGGAACTTGTTAAACATGGCTTATGATTGGGCCTCACCCCGGCTCTATTGAATCAGAAACAGGAGTGGGAGCCCCTCAGTCTGCTGATTAATAAACGGTCTGGCAGATTCTCTTCCCTCTTTGGTTGGGGACCATGTCTTCTGTTTTGCCTGTCTTTGATTTGTTTTCCAGAATCAGCTGTCACCCTCCCCAACTGTTTGGGATAGTTTATATCTGGGGTTCAGACCCTTGGCTACTTAACTGCACTTCCTAAGCCAGCTTTCCTGACAGTTTACCTAACTGTTGAATCGTTAGTGGTTACCTCCTCTCTGATGATTGTACATTGCTGAGTGACCTGAACCTGACGCCACTTGAGGGAGGACACAAGGGCACCAGGAAGGGTAACTAGAATGTTAGATTTTGATTGTTAACCACTTGGATTAGAATTAGTGTAAGAAGTGCTTATTGGTAATCTACTTCATCCCACTTATGACTCCCTTGTGGCTTTCCCTACTTTTTAGCTTACGTATGAGAGTCTGAGTATGGGAGAGTGTTGGAACAACAAGCTTTTACCATGTTCCTTTCTGCTAGCTTCTAGACTTAGTTCTTCTAGCCTAAATACTTTATCTCAGTGTTTACTGATCCAGATAGGCATTTTGGAGGCATTTCATTGTAACACATTACATACATTTCAAGTTTTCTGTAGATTGACCATATGAACTATTTAATCAGGAAAGGATTATAGTGAATTTTGCAATTTATAGCCATACTAGTTACTAACAAGGAGCCCGCGTGGCGGTATGGATTAAGGGCTGTGCTGCTCACCTTAGACAGCAGTTTAGACTCTCCAGCTGCTCCTTGGGAGAAAGTGAGGTTTTCTGCTTCCATCAAGATTTACAGCCTCAGAAACCCTGAGGGGCTCTTATACTCTATCCTGCAGGGTCCTGTGATTTTGGACTTGAATACATAGTAGTGAGTTTTGGATATTAGGTATTAATTAACCAGTCTTTCCCGGTGGGTGGACACATACCAAAAAAGAGGGCCCAGACTACCCTGATCTGGGCTGTATAAAGGCCTGGTTCCTGTAAGCATAGAAAGGAATCCTGGTGGTGTGATGCTTACATGCTTGGCTGCTAACCAAAAGGTTGGTGGCCTGAACCCACCTCGTAACTGCAGGAAGGAGACTTGGTGATCTGCTTTGGTAAAAATTGCTACCTAGAAAAACCTAGTGGGTCATTCAACTCTGCCACATGAGGTCACTGCTGCCTACCAACAACAGAATGGTAGAATGAGTTAGCTAAGGGAAGTGAGAAACCTACTGGGAGGCTTCTGCTTAACCTCTTTGGGAACCTAACTCATTCATATAGTTGGTTGGACTAAGTTCAGCATTTCTACCTGCACAGTTATTTTTCCCACCTTAACAGCACTGCTTTACTGGAGCTGATGACAAACAGCCTGTTGATTCCAAGAAGTAGAATTAATAGGGGAATCAACATGTTTTTGGTGCATATTAGTTTGAAAGTTATCAAAATACAGGGAGTTTTGGGGTGGAGTGGATGAAACTAATCTTTTTGTTTTTCCTCCCAGAACTTTTTATTATGAATTAGGTGGGTTTACATACCATTTGTCATTTTTGTACTGAACAACTTAAACAGCTTATCAAACAGATCCCTCCCAATGGCTTACCTTATTTCCTGCCCCTTCTGTAAATGTTTTCTCAATCACTTCTTTTAGGATATCCAAA